GACCGTAACATTATAACGCCTCCACGGCTGAAAGGGCGAGCATGTTTGGTGTGACTGGAATTCGAACCCGCGACCAGCAAATTGCGAGTCGAATACCCTAACCACCTGGCAATGCCGGACCATTTGAAAATGTAAAGTTTAAAGAAGTTCGATTGAAAGTTAAAAGTAAGTTAGATTGTATTCTTTTAGCAAGGGCATCGAACGATTCAAGTTCTAATCATTTAAAGTTTTTTTTTACTTTTATAAATGTCATGTGTAGTCAATTAATCATTATTTTTGTTTCTAATTCTGAAATAAAACCTGTCACTTACAAGTGAATATGTGGAGCGCCACCTAGTTTTTAAAACCTCAAACTTTACGTCCTACGACGTCGGACACAGATTGAATAACAATAATTTTGTTTTTGCTAAACCTTGTTAATATTACCATTTAATTGTAAGCTTTTTCACCTTGTTTAGTTTTCACCCATAAAGAAATATTTTCAAAATAATTCTTAGGTTTATAATTATTGTGTTTAATTGTCAAATGGGAATCAGATGAGAGTCGTACTAAGTCTTAAGTGTTTATAACAACGATTGTTAAGAGGTCTAAGCCTATATTTTCAAGGAAACAAAATTAAAAATTAGATGTGTTTAATAGAACTGAATCCGAATATTGCTGCTAGAAAGAAACTTTTTAAAAGAAAAATGCAGAAATAATTATGGAAAAGAAGATGTTATTTTATGGAAGAGCGTAAATCATTACCAGTAAAAATGTCTCCATTTTAATATGTATCATTCAGCGACAACAAACCAGGATCAATTATATATATATATACAGACACGTAAAGATTTAGGTAACACTATATCGACTTTTTGAATTCCACAGCAATTTTAACAGCATCAGGGAAAAGCAGTAAGTTGTTAAAGATTCGATAAAGCCAATTCAAATTGTTAACATGAGATAAAACAGAATTTATGTTTCTTTTAAGGTGGTTTGGCATTTTACATAGAAGTTATTCGTTTCATAACATATGGCAGCGGAAAAAAAGGTTTCTATCGGGGACTAAATGTCTAAACTGAAATGTTAAAGAAACTAGAATAACTTAACATTAAATCTAAATATGAAAAATAACATAAGTTACTATTTTCACACTTTTACAAAAAAATATAATTTTGCGTTATCTCCCCTTTTAATTTTTTCACTATACTCTAGTTTTGCCACATATTTTTGGACGATTTTCTTCATAACAGAAGACGACTTTCAATCTTTTCCAAAACTTACTTTGGCTCTGTTCAACTGTAATAGAAAGCTGCCGGCAGAAGGAAGAAAATAGTAGTCCATTAATTTACGTTACACTTTCCAAAAACTAAATATAAAAAAAAGATTAATTGTATAGCGAGAGTTGCCACATTTTAGTTTCATTATTATATTATCTTTTCTTTTATTTCCGGTTGTTCTTGTCTTTTCGACATAGTTTGAAAAGTATAAATTAACATAAATAGTTTTAAAACAAATCTGTCAATGAAATATTTATACATTTTCAGGTAAATTGTGAATACGTTAGATCGATAGTCTTTAAATGTTAAGAAAACTTTGAGATTGAAAATTTGTTGTTAATATTTTTTAGTTGCTCCTTCAGAAATTGTAAAGTATTTATCCTTTGTGTCTAATATTTTACTCCTCCGTATTGTTGGGGAGCTCTACCACCAGGGGGTGCTCCATAAGAACTTCCTTGCTGAGAAGGTCCACTGGAACTTTGAGGAGGACTACCTGGAAACTGTGGAAAGCCTGCTGGCAATTGAGGAAAGTTTGGGAATTGTCCTGAAGAAGGCGAATTGTAGGATCCCAAACCATGACCTTGTTGTGGAGATGGGGCACCTCCGATATGAGCTGGGTTAGCAGAAGGAACGTGAGGCTGAGGACCAAAAGAAGGAGGGCCTCTAGGGGCTGCCGGCGGCTGACCATGAGGAGCACCAGAACCGGAATCATGAGGAACTCCTGAAAACTGTGGAAAACCTTCTGGAAGTTTGGGAAAGTTTGGGAATTGTCCTGGAGAAGGCGAATTGTGACCTTGCTGTGGAGGTGGGGCACTCCGAGGAGGAGGTGGGCCATAAGATGGGGGACCACTTGGGGCAGCGGGTTGAGCCTGTCCCTGCTGTTGTGGAGCCCCACCATATTGATAACCAGGATATCCTTGATTCTGAGGGGCAGCGGGTTGAGGTTGTCCCTGCTGTTGTGGAGCCCCACCATATTGATAACCAGGATACCCTTGATCATGAGGGGCAGCATTACCCTCCTGTGGTGCAGGTTGTTGTGGTGCTTGACCCCCGTACAAGAAGTTTTCTGGATAGTACCTTTGATGGTAGAGCACAGTGTTATTTGGGCCTTTCTGTTCAAGAGGCTGAAAGATGTATGTTTATTAGTACTTGAAACTGGCAAGTTACTAATTCAACGCTCCAAGCATTTGTAAAGTTAGAACAGATATTGCACACATACATAGAATAAAGAGAAATTAAATATTAATGAAAGATCACACGTCTCAACGCATAATACTCCTTTCTTGTTTGACGCATAATCCTAAATTCAAATGCTTCTTATAAGTTTTGGGTAATTTTTGTAAATTAATTTTAAAATAGTCTATATATTATTGAACTTATTTTTTAACCATTAAAGTCAACTAAACGTCTGGCGAATTATATTAAATCTTGACTTTATCCTGTCACAATGGGTATCTAACCCCGGATGTTCTACAAACATTTTGAATTATATACTAGTTAAAGGAATTCTCAAGAAAAATACACCATTCTGCAATGATAAAGGGTATAATAATCACATTTTATACAAAGGTTTACAGCAAACGAAAAATAATGGCTTTACCAAAACAGTACACTACTTCCAATCTAGTCATCTTTTATAGAAACTGTGACCTTTAACACAGTGTAATTCTAATCTAGTCATCCCTAATAGAACCTGTGGCCCCCAACACAGTGTACTTCCAATCTATCCATCCCTAATAGAACCTGTGACCTCTAACATAGTATACTTCTAATCTAGTCATCCCTAATAGAACCTGTGGCCCCCAACACAGTGTACTTCCAATCTATTCATCCCTAATAGAACCTGTGACCTCTAACATAGTATACTTCCAATGTATTCATCCCTAATAGAACCTGTGACCTCTAACACAGTGCACTTCCAATCTAGTCATCCCTAATAGAATCTGTGACCTATAACACAGTGTACTTCCAATCTAGTCATCCCTAATATAATCTGTGAACTCTAACACAGTGTACTTCCAATCTAGTCATCCCTAATAGAACCTGTGACCTCTAACACAGTATACTTCCAATCTAGTCATCCCTAATATAATCTGTGATCCATAACATAGTGTACTTCCAATCTAGTCATCCATAATAGAATCTGTGACCTCTGACACAGTGTACTTCCAATCTAGTCATCCCTAATAGAATCTGTGACCTCTAACACAGTGTACTTCCAATCTAGTCATCCCTAATAGAATCTGTGACCTATAACACAGTATACTTCCAATCTAGTCATCCCTAATATAATCTGTGATCCATAACATAGTGTACTTCCAATCTAGTCATCCCTAATATAATCTGTGATCTATAACACAGTGTACTTCCAATCTAGTCATCCCTAACACAACCTTTAACCTCTACCACAGTGTACTTCCAATACGTAATGATTAACACCTGTCCGTTGTTTGTACAACATCAACGTAATTATTAACATCTGTCCGTTGTTTGTTCAGCGTCAACGTAATGATTAACACCTGTCTGTTGTTTGTACAGCATCAACGTAATGATTAACACCTGTCCGTTGTTTGTACAACATCAACGTAATTATTAACATATTTCCGTTGTTTGTTCAGCATCAACGTAATGATTAACACCTGTCTGTTGTTTGTACAGCATCAACGTAATGATTAACACCTATCCGTTGTTTGTACAACATCAACGTAATTATTAATATCTGTCCGTTGTTTGTTCAGCATCAACGTAATGATTAATACCTGTCTGTTGTTTGTACAGCATCAACGTAATGATTAACACCTGTCCGTTGTTTGTATACAGCAAAACGATCTTATTAAGTATTATCGAATACTTAGAGAGAAGTACGGCGGAAGACTTATTAAATACGTGGGTAGTTCAGTGTGAAATAAAAAAAAACATTTAATATGATAACGTAAACATAAAACAAGATTGTTTTGTACCCAGAACAAATCCCATCGAAAACAGAAAAAGCAAAAAAACCATTTAATATTACTGTAATTAGTAAAGTCTAAAAATACAAGTTTATATTCTTAAGTGAGTAATACAAATACTGTTGACATACTAGAAGGAAAGATTAAACTTATAATTATACTCATCGTAAGACATTATCATTAGGCCTATTATATTTTTCAACACTACATTTTTTATCTTAGGAATTTTCAAGAATTAGAATAGTGTATAATAATAGTATTCCAACCACACTTTGTCCGTCACAGCCATTGCCGATGAGGTTTCGCTCAATTTAGACCTCATCAGGCCGGCTGTGATACAAGAAACACAGTAGTGCCTGAACACTATTTATATAAGCCATTTGTTATAGTGTGAACGCTCCATAACAACTGTTAGGATTATACTTACCTTATATAGGTAATCATTAACCACGTGGTATTTTTCTGACTGGGAACAAATATCCTGACTGGATGGAACACAGTTCAAGTGAACCTGGTGGAACACTGTTCCTGCTGGGCACATCCAAGAATGCTTGGAACCCCCCACACAATAATGGAACGCTCGACAGTCAACACTGTTATCAGCGTAGTATCCGTCGTTCTTTCCACTGCAGGCAAACTTGGAATCGCCCAGGAGGACTGATAAGGGGTCACGTGTGGTTGGTTCCTCCTTCTGGGGACCTGCCCCATTCAAAGCCTGCTGAAAGAGTGAAAGTTTTTGCTAGTACAATGTTTTTAAAACTTTCTTTAGCATCAAATAAGTCAATACAAATTTAGAACAAAAGAGTCTATTGAAACGGTGACTTCAAACTTAAAAATTATTATTCAACGAAAGCCAGAATGTGAAGTGAATCCCATTAAGTGGACTAACCCAGGGTACCGAATTGCCATGGGGAATAAGACGTTTTACAGGGGCGTTAGATTACGTTACAATAAAGTGTTGTGTTCTGGAAAACTATTTTGTTGTCGTTTCTGTAAAACTATACAACTGACCATCTGCACTCTGTCCAGCACAGGGAATCGAACCCTAGATTTTAGCGTTGTAGATCCGTAAACATTATAGACCCACCGGCGGACTTGAAAGAGGGTCTATTTCCCGACTTTCAATTCCACTTAAAAGTTGTGTTTGTGATAAATTTATAAATATCGTTTTGTAAACCCAATGTTTATGTTATAACTTTACAAAGTATATTCACATAAATGAAAGGTTGCTTTCAAAGTAGGCTGAGGTGTATCGCCATTACAGAAAGTAAATGAGTTATTCATCTGCTGTCTTGATATTTTTTATATATGATTTTTTGAATAACAATGCAGGAACAGATATAATATAAGAAATCGTGCTGGACTTAATGCAGGAAAAGATATAATATAAGAAAGCGTGCTGGACTTTGAATCCAGGGATTTGCGATTCGCGTTCCGTTGTCGAAAAATCCTGTCTCACACTTTAGGGTCGTGAGTGTATTATAAGAGTGACAGTCAAATGTTATATCATCTAATTAGAGTAGCTCAAGAGTTGACAATGAGTGTTTTTACTAGCTGACTTCTCTACAGTTTAAAAACAGATACAGTTAGCGCACATAGCTTCTGCGTAACTTTACATAAAAAAAAAACGAAAAAGTTTCTCGAATGAATCATAATACATTATAAGCAATACTTACTCCAGAAAAAGATCCAGGTCTCGGACCACCAGTTTGTGGAGGACCATATGCTTTTCTTGGATAACCACCGGCTCTTGGGGGATATCTTGCTTGCCGCTTATCCTATTTAAAGCACAAAAAAGATAAATTTAATGTAGTTATAACAGCCATTACTATTATCACATTATTTTTGTAGTCATTATTTTGTGTATTTGTATGTGTGTGTAACAACTGTAGTTCAAGGTCATGAATCAAATGTCACGGAAATGTCAGAAATTGTGGTAATGTTTCATATTGGGGCTGTTTGAAAATGCACGCCTCATACTTTAATTTGTTTAGTTTAGGTATACGAAACATTAAAAAAAGGAACAGTACGATTCTTTTATAGCATGGAATTTTTAACGTATAAATTAGGAATAACATTGTAGTTCTTATTCTTGGCATAATGGCTCGACAAGATAACAAAGGTCTCTACTGTTATGGTTTGCTTGAATCCGGAATTATCCGTATTTGTTGTCTATGACTGATTAAGACCATGAATAACTACTATTTCCCTTCTATTGGCGTGGTTCTGTTCTAGAAGTATCTGTATTTGTTGTATATGACTGATTAAAGCCATGGGTAACTAGTATTCCCCTTCTTTTGGCGTGGTTCTGTTCTAGAAGTATCTGTATTTGTTGTATATGACTGATTAAAGCCATGGGTAACTAGTATTCCCCTTCTTTTGGCGTGGTTCTGTTCTAGAAGTATCTGTATTGGTTGTATATGACTGATTAAAGCCATGGGTAACTAGTATTTCCCTTCTATTGGTGTGGTTCTGTTCTGGAAGTGTCCCCACTTTATTGTCTAGGGCTGATTAAGGCCATGGATAACTAGTATTTCCCTTCTATTGGTGTGGTTCTGTTCTGGAAGTGTCCCCCTTTATTGTCTAGGGCTGATTAAGGCCATGGATAACTGGTATTTCCCTTCTATTGGTGTGGTTCTGTTCTGGAAGTGTCCCATTTTATTGTCTAGGGCTGATTAAGGCCATGGATAACTGGTATTTCCCTTCTATTGGTGTGGTTCTGTTCTGGAAGTGTCCCCCTTTATTGTCTAGGGCTGACTAACACCAGAGAAAGCTTACCGGATGTCGTGGTAAGATGAAATGTGTTGTTTCACTCAAACAGAATCTTAAGAAATCAAAACAATTTTCTTGATATGCTTATCTCAGTGAATAAAAGGTCCAATATGACTACAGATTAGTGTGAATACTATTTACCTAATAAGAGTTGAAAGATAAAAAAGGATTAACTAACGTTAATCTAGTATAACACTGGATTACTATATAGTAAGCACAAGACATAACGTTAGTCTACTATAGCTGTGGATTACTGTATATTAAGCACAGGACATAACGATAATCTACTATAACATTGGATTACTGTTTAGTAACACACAGGACATAACGTTAATCTACT